CACAAAACCCTCGTCATTCCTAGGCCTCAGCTATTTGAATTTCAAGTAGTCTTTAAGGTTTTAAAAGGAAAAGTTAGACTTTCTACTAACGCATTTCTCGCTGCGTTCTCCATGTGCACACTGCTTTGATCCTTCGACAAACCCGGCTGCAAAAATAAAGGCAGATCCACTTGGTAAGGGAGAGCAAGCTTGATAATATTCCTGATAAGCCATTTTTAAAGATGTTAAGTGTATTTCAATAGTTAAAATTGCTCAGGAAAATGTATACAGCAAAGAAAGAAGTGAGATAAGTTCATGTACCACAGACTATGCCGAAACCTCTCCACTCGCGTAGAAGGATTTCCCACTACGGCTGGATGGGGACCACTGACATGCGCAATGACTCGTTTCTGGACAATTTTACTTCCGGTAGCCGTAGCAGCGCCAGCCGTAGTGATTTGCTTAAACTCCCTATTACCAGTCTAGGGGTACGGCAGATCCAGAAGCGTATTGCATCATCAGGATTCTACAAAACTGTTGATATTCAAGTAAGTTTTCTTTTTTTTGAGGAAAGAAACAGTGACATTGTTATTACCTTTGTTTGCTTTCATCATTTTGATTAAGGGTTTGAGGTAAAAAAAATCACTGGAGCACAAAAGAAGTGGCTTTGTTACCCAATTTGTATAAGGATGATCCAGATTTTTGAAGAATGATATGATCTATAATATAAGGTACACATAACTTAATTTATTTTTCTAATGTTCCCTCTCAATAATATTATAAGAGCCTTTTTTGTCAGGTCACTATTGTTTTCTTCTGTTTAGCTAAGATAACAAAGCAATAACATTATTATCCAATGACAGTACAATTGTACGATTGTAGTTTTTGTTACATTTTGGTGGAAGCACTCAAGAAGGCCAAAGAATGTAACCCACAGGGAAGGTGTTGGATAAAAGCCGATGCTTGTGACGTGAGAAAGGGCTTGAGAGAAAGTATGCCTGGAATCTGGGCTGGTGATGAGGATATGGGGGATGGGTCATTGGGCAGGGTTGATACTGGCGATGGCATAGGACGGATCAGTAATTTTTTCGGAGAGCTGGAAGCTGCTGTATCCGTATTGGATACCAAATACAGTCTTCGTGGAGGAAGATTTTCCACTTTCCAAAGATTAGTACCATTAAGAGGGATGGTCGCAAGGTCCCTGTGAAAGATTCATAGCAAAATAATTCGCTGCCTGATTGCAACGCCAAAACTTTCCAATCCATGGCGTGGGGATATTAAAATGGACATGCCGCAGGAGGTGTTTGAATGTGTTTCTAAAGACCTTCTGCAACGTACTAGCTTCGGTCACTGATTTCGGGAAACAAATACACAGGTCGTGTACGAGATAACAGATATGCGAAAGGCGAAATACTTATTCGCTAGGATGGATTTAGATGGTACAAGAGTCGATCCCGCAGTGATTTT